CCAGCCAGCTTTGCTGGAGGACTTCAACTCCCAGAATTCCCCAGCCACCTTTGCGGACTTCAACTCCCAGAATGTTTGTGCCCAGGTGTTTGCCTGGCTAGTGGTGTGTAGATTTTTTTGTTTGAGAGTGCAGGCTTCCAAATAATTGACAGTCTGGTGGAATCATCTCTTCTATTCATGCTTTCAGGTCTTTTTTCAATCTCTGTGGCTTCTCCGATGATTCTGTGGCTGGGATTTTCTATAGTGGCCAGGGTTTTGGTGCCATCGAAGTCGATGCTATGACCTGTGGCTTTCATGTGTTGGACTAGTGAGGAAGTGTGTTCAAGCTTTTTTACTGCATTTTTGTGTTCATCCAGGCAGGCACTTATTCTTCTATTGGTCTGTCCAATGTATGTGGCCGGGCATAATGCACAGGGGACTTCATATATGCCTTGGTTTTCCAGGTCAATTTTATCTTTGGGGTTTCTAAGGATGGCTGCTATTTTTCTGTCTGTTTTGAAGGCAGTCTTGATGTGATGCCTGTGTAGTATCTTACTAATTTTGTCTGTAGTGCCTCTTATGTAGGGCAGGACAGCTGTTCCATAGGTCTGTTCATCTTCTAGGTCTCCATTATGTCTCGGTGTGTTTTTGCGGATCAAGCCGGTGATTTTGCTTTTGTGGAAGCCGTTGGCTGTCAGTACTTTAGTCAGGGCGCATAGTTCAGTCTTTATGTGTGCCTCGTCTGCCAGGCGTTTATGTATGTCTGCAAGACACACATAAAGACTGAACTATGCACCCAGTTGCCAAGCAGCTGAATTTTGATCACATGACCATTGAGATATTGCGAGTCATAAGTGTGATAAATGGTCATAAGTCACTTCAAATGGTCATTAAACGAACTGTTGTAAGTCAAGCATTACCTCTTTTTGTTAATAATAAAGCAAGGAAGGGTTAGAGCAGGGGTCTTCAAACTTGGCAAGTTTAAGATTTGTTGGACTTGAACTCCCAGAATTCCTCCTCCTCCAGTCGTGTTAGCTCAAGAATTTGGGGCACTGAAGTCCACCAGTCTTAAAGTTGCCCCGTTTGAAGACCCCTGGGGTAGAGAATATATGAAGCAGGATTAGACTTTGAGGAAGATCTTAACTCTCTTCCTGTTAACACTTGAAATACAATCTACACCCTTATTTTGCAGGACGGTGATGCCTTGAAGGGAAGGATCCGCACGGTTGACAAGGAGTCAGAAGTATGAGGAAGATCACTTGGATCCACAGCAAATCCCCAGATCTTCTCCCACCACATGTTCACTGAAGGTATTCCTGAGCCTCAGTTTAGGGGGGGCTTAATCCGAGATTGTTGGCTTCACGGGTTAACTTGGCTTCTGTCTAGTCCTGCCTAACCATGGCTTGCCAAACTCTCTTCAACTGATCAGCGGTTTTTCATGTCTATATTTTTAGCTGAGGGTCGAATACGTCTTCCGTGATGTGCCACGTAGATGCTGCCCAGAGTGCAGGATTTCTCAACCTTTGGCACCTTTCAGATATGTGGACTTCAGCTCCCAGAATTCCCCAGCCAGTAAGCACATTTGTGGTCCCACGATTTCCCACTTAGCCACCACTTTTCTTAGTGGCAGAGTTGCCAATCCCAAATTATAGTTGTTAAGCGAGGAAGGTTACCTATCGTTGAAATGAACTGTCCCATCTGGTAAGAGAAGAACGTGTGCAGCTCAGGGTTGGAGCTTGATTGCTTTGCACTGATGATGTTACCTAATTTGGGTAATGAAATACCTGCAAGGAAACAACCACATTCAGAGAACCCCAAGAGCCTTTCCCTTCTCTCAGAGCCTGGGAACCCGCCATCTCTGCGGATTGTGGCCTTTCAGCCACTGTCAGGCCCCACGAACGACCCACGGAGTTCCCGACGAGTCGTTCCCTTGGCTGTCCCTCACCTGTAGACAGAATCTTGCCAAACTAAAGCAAGTATTTGCGTCACTCTAGATCAGGGGTCTGGGGAATTCCGGGAGCTGAAGCCCACAAATCTTAAAAAGTTGTCATGTTCGGAGACCCCTGCCCTAAATAGACTCTGGGGATCACTAGGGAGGAGACCTCTTCACCAGGGGTGGGCTTCAAAAAATTTAGCAACGGGGTCTTTGCTCGGTTCCTGGGTGGGCGTGGCCTAGTTGGCCTCCTGCGCCACAGTGAGAGGGGGGCATTTCTGCCGTCCCCGAACTCTGGAGGCTTCCCTCAGGCCTCCAGGAGGGTGAAAGTAGCCCCCAGAGGCTCTCTGGAAGCTGGAAACGGGCCCAGAAGGCTGTTTTGTGCCCTCCTCAAGCCTCCATGCGCGCCCTGCGCTTACCTGCATCCAAAACAGGCCGCTTGGGGACTCCGGGAGGGGTGGGGTGGGGCCAGCCAGGAGCGAGGTTGGGAGGTTCTTCGAACTGCGCAGAATCTTAGCTAGGGGCTCTCGCGAACCCCCCCACCCGCAGCAGCCCAGCCCTGCTCTTAACCCTCTTCCTGCCCCCCCCCAGGCATTCTAGTCTCCGCGGCCTCTTTGCCCTCTGGGGTGCAGCCCCCCACCACCCCCTCCTCTAGGAACCCCGGCTACATTCCACCATCCCGGTCTCCCTCAATCTGGGGGGCCCTGGATAAGTTGGGAAGCTCACCCCCCCCGCCCCCCTCCTCCGCAGGGCGCCCCCCAGCCATGGAGGACAAGCGCAACATCCAGATCATCGAGTGGGAGCACCTGGACAAGAAGAAGTTCTACGTCTTCGGGGTGTGCATGACCATGATGATCCGCATCAGCGTCTACCCGTTCACCCTGATACGGACGCGGCTGCAGGTCCAGAGGGGGAAGAGCCTCTACAACGGCACTTTCGACGCCTTCGTCAAGATCCTGAGGGCCGAAGGGGCGGCCGGGCTCTACCGGGGCTTCCTGGTCAACACCTTCACCCTCATCTCCGGCCAGTGCTACGTGACCACCTACGAGCTCACCCGCAAGTACGTCTCGCAGTACAGCAGCAGCAACACCATCAAGTCGCTGGTGGCCGGCGGCTCGGCCTCCCTGGTGGCCCAGAGCATCACGGTGCCCATCGACGTGGTCTCCCAGCACCTGATGATGCAGCGCCTGGGCAACAGCATGGGCCGCTTCCGCGTGCAGCCCCACCAGGGCAAGCGGTTGCCCGTCTTCGGCCAGACCCGGGACATCATCGCCCAGATCTTCAAGGCCGACGGGCTGAGGGGCTTCTACAGGGGCTACGTGGCCTCCCTCCTGACCTACATTCCCAACAGCGCTGTCTGGTGGCCCTTCTACCACTTCTACGCAGGTAAGTAGGCGGGTTTCCGGCAGGCATTTCACGGCCCAGGCTGGGCAGCCTCACCAGCGCCAGAAGGGAGCCAGATTTGTAGAGTGGAGGTGGAGGAGGGGGCGGCGGTGCAGCGCTCTCTGAGCTTGGATGTTTTCTTGCAGACATTTTATGACCCAAACTAGATGACATCATCATGCTAGATTTACAGGGGTCCCCAAACTTGGCGAGTTAAAGACTCATGGACTTCAACTCCCAGAATTCCTCCTCCTCAAGTCAGGTTAGCTCAGGAATTCTGGGCATTGAAGTCCATGAGTCTTTAACTCGCCAAGTTTGGGGACCCTCGATCTATCTATCTATCTATCTATCTATCTATCTATCTATCTATCTATCTATCTAATCTCTGTTTTGTCTATTCTATCTTTATCTCTCCCTCCATTCTCTATCTATTCTATGGATCTTTATCTATCTATTCCAGGGGTCTTCGCACTTGGCGAGTTATAGACTTGTGGACTTCAACTCCCAGTATTCCTCCTCCTCCAGTCAAGCTAGCTCAGGAATTCTGGGTGTTGAAGCCCACAAGTCTTAAACTTGCCAAGTTTGAAGACCCTCGATCTATCCTCTCTCTCTTTCTCTTTCTCCCTCTGCCCCTCCCACCCTCACTCCCTCTCTCCCTCTCATCTCTTATCTATTCTATCTATTCTTTCTCTCCCTCTCCCTCTATTCTATCTATTCTACCTCTCTTTATCTATCTATTCCAGGTGTCTTCAAACCTGACAGCTTTAAGACTTGTGGACTTCAACTACCAGAATTCCTCCTCCTCAAGTCAGGTTAGCACAGGAATTCTGGGTGTTGAAGTCCACAAGTTTTAAACTTGCCAAGTTCGAAGACTCTTGGGTTAGACAGTCTAGGCAGCAGGATGAAACTTTTAGGAAGATCTTGTGTTTTCCTGTTAACACTTGAAATACAGTCTATACCAGATTGTATTTCAGCTATGCTGGCTGGAGAATTCTGGGAGTTGAAGTCCACAAGTTTTAAAGTTGTCAAGTTTGGGGACCCCTGTGCTAGAAGGAAGCGGGGTTTGCAGAAAGGAGGAAGAGGTGTGTGTGTGGGGGGGGCTTCAACTCCAGCCTTGGGCATGAAATCCAGCACGATTGCTGAGATCAGTCACTGCCCAGGGCAGAAAATCCAGGCAGTTCAAAGGAAGATAAAGATTTATTGCAAGCTCCCTACAAGAATCTGAACTCGTAACGGTCAAAGCAGACTGGTGGTCCATACAAGTTAACGGAACTCAAGGTGGGCCAGACTTGGGTCTCTTGTGGGGGCGAAGGGACTCGAGACTGATGATGTGTTTGCCCCCCCCCCCCTTCGACTCAGCCTAGCCCTCTCCTACAGTCACAGGAGCAAAGTGGCATTCCTATAGGCCAGTGGTGGCTAACCTTTTGGGGCTCCTATGCCAAAAATTGTTGCATGCTTGCACACAATCCCCACCCCCCGCCGCCCCCTTACCTGCACTGTACTATACAGTTGATTTTTGGCTGGTTTAAGGCCTTTTTCGGCCTCCCAGAGGCTTCAGGAAGACTTCTGCAGGCTTTGCAGGCCGAAAACTAGCCCCGTTTCGTCACTTC